TCTCTCTCTCCCTCTCTTTTTCTCTCTCTCTCTCTCTGGACACCCCTGACAGGATTTAGTTTTCTACTTTCCATCCCTTTTTAATATGATCTTTCTCCGTCTCACTTTTCTGCCATCACTAATTCATGACCATCACCATCGAATCAATAATCTGGCGCTCTTAATATGACCGTGTGCAGTTGTGAGCGCCGTAAAACCTCTACTGAAACAAACAAAAAAGAATTAATAATGTACTTCTCTTTACTCAACCACACACAACCCACCAGGGAGATTTCAACGTGATCACCGTCGACTGGGGTGAGGGAGCCAAACTCCCTGACTACCATCAAGCGGTTGCTAACTTGCGGCTTGTGGCCACCCAACTCAAGCTGCTGTTGGATATCTTGCAAGGTCAAGGCCTCAAGCTCTCGGACGTCCACATGATTGGTCATTCCCTCGGCGCTCACATGTCTGGTTACGTCGGCCTCCTGATTGGTTCCACAATCGGCCGAATCACAGGTAATGTTGAACTACTATACTCGATCGAACTTTTTTTTCAGATCGAGGTTTTTTCCCTCTCTATATGTGTCACATCGTAGCTTTTTTTGAGCGCATCCGAGCAAAGGAATGAATGGAGAACCATGATCGCCGATGTCTGTCGCAGATCTGGCACTGGATGATGATGATGTGTCACAACACCGTGGAATCAGGCGCTCGTCAATTTTTGGGCACGTAGAGTAAAGTAGAGTTATCTGTATCATCTTAAAGCTTGTTCATATCTCTTCCTTTCAATTTAAAGAATACTAATGTACTTTGGATAGAAGTCGAGATATTCTCGATAGAAGCAAATGGGGGTGGCCGGTTCCAAAGGTAACATTGGCGAGAAAATGGCCGACAAGATTTGGCGAATTCCAAAGCTTCAGAATGTTTGGAAACTAAAAATCTACTTTTTTGTACCTTTAGTCAACGTTTTTCGGGTAAAACCCACCCAAAACTGTGTTTTTAAATGATCGTAAAAGGCGTTAACCCAAGAAACAAAAATTCTTTGAAGATTGCAAAACTACCGGAAAAATGCCATTTTCTTCAGTTCCATTATTTTGACGAGCACATGATTTCTCCACGCAGCCTCACATATTAAGGTCACCCCATACTAAAAGAGCAGGTTTAACTATAACCCGAACTGTCTTCAGATCGAGGGTTTTTCCTCTATAATATGATGTTCGTCCTTCGCTGGCGAAGAGGATCTTGTCTTCACATCACTGGAGGAGTGGGGTGTGTGCGGAGATGGCTGGTCAGGCAGATCTTCGCTCGGAAATGTCTGTTGCATGCAGTGGGGGGTGATGTTTGGGACTGAACTAGATTCAAAAGTAGGGCTCTCTCGGTCTTTTCTCAGCTGCCGTCTCTTTTCTTTCTTTCTGATGTGTCTTTCTTCGAACTTGGCGACTCTCGACCTTACCAGGGAGCGCCTCTCTATAATTATAATATAATGGTCACCCATACTAAACGAGATTGTTTACCTATAACCCAAACTGTCTTTAGACCGAGGATTTTTAAGAATCTTTATAGTATCACAAATGTCAGCCCATACTGAAAGAGATACATCATACTAGTGGAGAGACATAAAAAATATTCGTACTTGAAAAAATATATTCTAAGCGCCGGGATGGAACTCATGTTTGGAAGATCCCAACCTTTACACCACGATGTAGGCGATATTTTTTTTTGGGGGGGTGGGGATAAAGGGAAAGAGAGAGAGAGAGA